TTGGAAATGGATGCAAATGGGCTGTGATTACCGGTGCCACCGATGGCATAGGGCTGGCATACGCTCATGAGTTAGCTCTAAGACAATACAACTTATTACTGATATCGCGATCACAAGAAAAGTTGGAAAAAGTGAGAAATGAATTACAAATAATTCAAAAGCCATTCAATACAACCACCAGAATATTGGCCCTAAATTTCACGTCAACCCATATATACACACAATGCGAATAAACGCTCCGGGAGTTGGACCCAGACATCCAAGTTTTGGTCAACAACGTTGGTATCGCTTACCCGGATGGTAAGCCCACCCTTTTCGGGGATATGCCTAATTTGGACCAATTCTGTACGGATATGATTAACGTTAACATAATGTCGTGCACACGACTCACGGCACTTGTATTGCCAGCAATGGTGGCCAATGGACGGGGAGTCATAATCAACGTATCGTCGGTGGCGGCTATCACTCCCATGCCATTAATGAGCCAATACTCGGCCACCAAAAGCATACATGGATTACTTTAGCCGTGCGTTAGCCACGGAGTACAATGATCGGGGTATTATCGTACAGTGTGTGCTGCCTAATGTGTTCTCTACTAAAATGATTCCTCAGGAACTCCACCGAAAATCATATATACCCGTTCCTCGAGACTACGTGCGCCTATCAGTGCGTACAGTTGGTGTTGAGGGCCGTACCTCAGTGTACCCGTCCCACCGGTGCCAACAGGTTTTACTCGGTTGTGTAGCCATACTATCCATTATAATAGGTGTGGATTTGGGCCCTAAAGTCATGTTATTAACGTTTAAATTGAGTAAACATTTCAGTAAAAAAAGATTAGTTTGATGTGTGCTTGTTAATTCACTTTGAAGTTCAATCAAAATCATAGTTACTGTATTATTGATAAACTAAAAAAGCGATAAGCATGGTTTAGAAGTATGCGAGAGATTAACCATATTATTGCTAACCTTTTGTGCTTATATCATATTACACTATAAACTTTATAACTTACAGTATAAGAATTTTAACAATTACATTATAAACACGCTTTAATACAATACAATAAATTCACCACTAGACAGTAACTGTATTAATATCTACCATCATCAAGTACAATTATACCTTTATTAAACTTGCGTTTATTATGTAATATTTATAAATAGCATTTTAAAATTAATTAAATTTTATAGATTAAATTAATAGATTATATTAAAATAATTTTTAAATAATTTAATCTACTATGCTATAATAATTATCACAATAAAGTATAATCCTTGATATTTTCCTCTTAATAAGCTCAATACAGTAGTAATAAAAATATCTATAATATAATTATTATAATTGCACTCTAATTAAAACTT